CTACAAACGATAGAACAAAGAAGTCAAACAAACCAAGGAAGAAGGTGAAACTACAAACCAATAAAAAAGGAGTTAAAATAGAACACTTATAAGTAGTGGTAGAAAGGAAAGAGCAAAAACTATCAATCGTGCAATAAGAAAAAAAAAGGCTTATCTTTTTAGACAATAACCCCAAAAGACGAATGAAGGATTGCACCTAAGAAAAATGATGTGACTGGTCATCAAGAATGATGAAATAAATCCTGGAAAAGAAAGGAGTCGATCTCATACCCTTTTCTTCTTGCCAAAATCTTTTAGGATAGAAGGAACCGAAGTGTTGATTGAATCAAAAAACTATGGTTACTCGCCGTAAAATTTGTGGATTTGAAAAAAAAAACCCTAATTTGTTTCAATCGGGGAGATGGGAATTTGTTTTCTTGAGAGAGAAAGGAGTATATTTGAGTTTTTCCACTCGGAAACAAAGGCTATCTCGTTTTATTTATATGGTGGCTCCGTTATTAAAACGCTTTTCGTTTTTATTAAATTTTTTGATATACCGTGTTAGGCGACGTGTGTTTTGGATGTAAGTTAAGAGGGTGAGTGTCGATCTATACTCTACGAGTTACATTAAGGTTTTCTCATATGAACAATCGAGATTTAAAAAGAAAAAAAGCAATGCTCGATCGAACGATTTCAAAACAATTGATTTAGATCGAATAGTGAAAATAAAAAAATTACAAGAAATAGATTCCGTACAGTAATTGAGCAAAGAGGTGAAGAAAAAAGAAATCAAACCAACACACATACGACACAACAAAGGAATAAAGAAATCAGAGAAAATTGAATGAATAAGAGAATTAGGTGTGTAACAATAGCAACTAAACAGTTACACATCCAATTCTTTTAATTTTTTTTTTAAAGTCCCCCTCCATAGAGAAACATTATAATATTTTTTTCTCTCTCATCTCTCTTTTTATCTCAAAATTTACATCAAATAATTTTTTATCTCCTAATAATTTAACTAGTTTTTTTTTTAGCATTTAACCTTTCCCTTTACTAAAGCACCAAGCATCTTTAAAAATTATTTTATTATTTCTTTTGAAATAATTATTTTTTATTCTTTAATCTCATCTCACATTTTTATATCTATTTTAGATGGGAAAGAATTCAAATTCGGATATGAATAATGTATTTTATAGCTGGTTGGATTTAAGTTTTCGTCCAGTTTGAAATTGAATAAAAAAATTTAATATATACATATATTCTTGATCAGGACAGAGGATCCAACTCGTTGATTAATCTCAACTCACTTCAAAGTTAACGAGAACACAACACATCCTTGACTGTAAAGTTGAAAACTTTCAGCTGGTACTCATCGTCATTGCCTTCAAAACAAAACTGGGATACTTTATTTAAAAGTCCTTATATCTAATTGGTTAAGTTCGAGGTCATCGTTGGTCGTGCTCTTAGACAATAATGTCTTGGAACAAATTTCGATGTATCTTGCTCTAGAGAGAAACTTTGATTCATTATCCAAATTGTAAGATATGCCATTTGTTATAGAGATAAAAAGTAAAGTTAGCTGGGATTTAAAGAATGTCAACAGAAAATTGTTTTAGCCATTTGGCATTGACTATCACGTGGTCCTAAAGAGATAAGGTGGAGATTCCACACCTTCTAACCAGCTTTATTCTTTCCATTAGAAAATCACAATTGTCTTGCCGAGTTTCTTAAGAGCCAACCCACTGTATTTGATGGCAACTTAGGACTTGTTCCCCAAACTCCCAAAGGTTCGCAAAAAATTAAATAACCTTAGATGTGTCCAAAAGTGATTGGTTTTGTTTTGCAAAGTCTAACTAGATCTCCATTTCCTTTTGACTTTGTGGCTCCAATGGTGGTCTTGAGCCTTTTCCACCATCTCCCTTACAGATAGATAGATTTCGAGGGGCGTCTTTAGGTAGCAAGAGGGACTAATTGGGCCACTAGAATACAAGTGTCGAGATATGGTTACCCCACCATATTAGGCACATTGTTTTATCCCATATTTTTTTTTATTCACCCCATTAATTACAAGGCCTATATAATGAGCTTCTTAGCCAATCTTCTTCATCGAATAAGCCGAACCAATCAGACAGAAAGCAAATGAATCTAATCTTTCATGGTATTGGTTGCTCACTCTCCCTCAAGGGCTTCTGCTCTGAAGCATCATAAAATCCTCGTTTCGGGGCAACTGGGGTTAGGCCAGGAGCTCTTGTGGGAGTACGAACAAGCTGTTCCGTGCTGGCTATCGATCAAGAAATATATATATACAAGGCATTATCATATTGCTCACTCTCCCTCAAGGGCTTCAAGCAATGCCAAATATGCATGGCAGGGCCTGACGCCTTTGGGGAGAGTGGACAATAAGTATCTTGATTGCTGATCGTGATTTTTGTCATATCGGTGGCAACAATTAAGGTAACCGATGACATTCATTGCTCACTCTCCCTCAAGGGCTTCTGTATTGGTCAATTATAAAGACCAAGACCGAGGTTCTTATAGGGAGAGGGGATAATATCTGTCATGCATTCTTGGAATGAACCTGCTCGCCCTCAAATATGCATCTTAATTGATTACTCCCATCCTGTTGTTACTGCAAATTTTTTCTGTGCGCATGATACAGGATAGAGACATTAATTAGAAGCTCATTCATCAAAAATTGATCAGAAGCAACTTAAATATTTTTTTCCAATATCTTTACACATGTGCATGCATGCATACTACATGTATATGGTTAATTATATGCCTATTACTTGAACCTGACTTAATTGTTATCTACTTCTTTTCTTCTTTCCAGGCTAATTAATGGATAGGATATATAAAAAGCTTACTGATGGAATCTTAGATCATTATCGAAACGATCTCAAACTTTGACACGCATTAGGCAAATTCAAATACTAATTAACAGATTGCAATAGTAGATTTATCTCATTATAAAAATATGAGTAGAAATTAATAATTCTTGACAGGTTTGACATAAATTAATCTCAAGATAGACAATTGATTGATCTACTTCATAATTTATAGTTTAAGCACAAGAAAGAACCAACAACATTCTTAGTAGTGCCATTCAATCGAGAGAGTCATGAAAAGTATTCATCATATTTTAGAAATTTTTATGTCACTGTCAATATTAATGGAAATGCATTACAGTTGTACTAAGGCTTTAGCAAGGTGTGATAAAAAATGCATATGATCAATTAATTAGTTGTTGTTTAAGTAATAACGAATATTTTATCGGTCTGTAGAATTTAAATTTTGAAATCGCGTTTATTATTTTTATTTTAGAAATAATTTGGATTATTTTCAATATAAAAATCCATGAAAAAAGATGCATATATATGATCAACAAGACTAGTACGAAAGCATCTAGAGTGGTCTGTGCAGGATGCCCCTAATTTGTATTTTACAGGCTGTATTTTGGGATTCTATGGGCTTCGATTTAATTGTGGGATTCGATTGGTCTAATAAAAGGCCCAAAAGTGTAAAATTCGAGAGAATTTTATCTACGAATTGGCCATTATCGGATCAAATCAATCCTATTGTCTTGATTCCATGTACCAAATCAACACAACACTATCTTGATTATTTTATTACACCAACTATCAGTTAGCCATATCACTGGGTCTACAGCTCCCGATAATAAAGCTGTTTTTTACTGCACATGAATCTAATTAATCAGGTACAATTAATCTAGGATGGAAGATTTGAGGGATGCACTTTTGTTTCTTTCAGTTATGTAGCAATAGATGCATGAACTTGTGAGAAGAAATATCATTTTAGGGATGCAAGTGAGTATGTATTTTCATTCCAGGGATCAAGCTAAACATTTTTTTCTTCTTCTGTTTAGTATAATTTTTGAGAAGAGGAGACCGAATGTAACTATTTTTAACGGGTAGGGACGAAAATTTTATTTACACGCTTGGAGAGGTTAATTAGGTAAAAGGAAAAGCACACATTTGCATCCAGCTGCAGGCTAGGTACTCTTAAGACTTTTTTTTCTTTTTTTCTTTTTAACTCATATAATCAAAATTTCTAATAAAACTAATATATTAAGATTTAAATTTATCATCTTTTATTATAAGAGAACATTAATACCATGCTATAATTTTTTATGCGGGATTCAAGACTTGGAAGCCCAAAAAATGATTGAAGAGCATTGGCCATAAAGAACTGAAGTAGAAAATTGAAGCAGAGAGGAGACTGCAATGCTAAAGCCAATTACCAAACATGTGATAGCATTACCATATGACTGCTGCGTCAGCTGCCTTTTTTCTTGAACTTGGTTGAAAGTTGGAACCACTTTAAAAAGTAGGTTTTCCTGGACCTCTATAACCTTAACTGGACAAAAGGAAAGGGAGAGGGAGACCCCCACCCCCTAGCTACCTTACATATGAATTGTATAACCTGTCCTATCCCATCCATCATACGTTATAGGAGCCTGTCAGTCTTTATGCCACTCAAATTTGTTTGTATGTTGCAGCGGGAAAAAAGATAATTTAAGGGACATGCTATAGGACAACTTCAAGTCTTCAATGCAAATACATGGAAACCCAGAATCAGTTAAATCATCCATCAGATTAATTTGAAAGTTCTAAGTACTTAAAATACATATATGTATATAAGCTTTTCCTGCGTTCATTTTTGTATCATTAAGCTTCCAAGCTTAATACATTATAAATAGATCCCAGTACTTTCAATGCTACCTGGTCATCATTAATGAAGATGGCCCATCTAACTAATGAGAATACAGGATTCCTAAGATAGCTTCCTAGTTCTGTCATTTGACATATATATCATCTCCCCAGTATCCACGAGCATTATTATATATATGATTTTTTTTCCTTTGAGATAAGAAGTAATCCCAAAAAGAAAATATCCCACCTTCATGTACACAGATGAATTGATAAACTCACGTTACACCAAATCTACTGCAGCTCTCTCCTGGACAGTGGATACCCTAGCTTTTAACTTCTTAATAATTAATGGGGAAGCTCTTGATTTTTCTCCACAACTCTCACCCCATTAGCAGATCTAAGCACACTGGCCTGTTTTGAATTAAAAAAAAAAAAAAAAAAAAAAAACAAGGAAAAAAAAAAAGAGAAGCGATCAGTGTCTTGAACAAATACTCATTAAACAAAATACATGTTGCATAAATGGTCACCTGAGCTTCAGTGATTTCTACTGCAAAACCATCAACAATGACCAAAGATATTGTCTTCTTGTAGCTGCCATGCTCAAGTGTGTTTGCCAATAACTCATCATGCTTCCTGCTTAGATACACATCAAGCTCATATGCCCCTCTCTTTGTCCTATATTATACACAGAAAATTGACAGACAAGAGAAAAATAGATGTTAAGTAGCTAGCTAGAGATCCAAAGAATGATACATTGTATCTTCTAATCAAAGAAAAAATGTCTTTGCAACATTAAGATTTTCTAACTAATATGTAAAGATCACTGACCGATCAGCTCGAAGGCGCTCATATTCAGGATCATAGTTCATGAAAACAAAGTATCTCTCAGTTTCTATACTCCCCATTGCCTTTGCTTTCTTTGATCACATAATGCCTTTCAGCTCCATATATGGTAGGTATTTATAGAGAGTTCCAGTCTCACTTTGGAGTCAATTACCGGAAAGAGAGGTTCACCTTTTTCTGAGTGTCAAGAGAAATATTTCTCCAAAAAAAGGATAAAATAATAGTAGTGATTTCTTTTTATCCAGCGGTAACTTTCATTTATTTTATTATTATTAAAGTTGAATAATTCCATAGGATTTGAAAATCTAAATTTCTAACGTGCCCCTACCTACCTGCTCTAGTGCTAGATAATGCAAATGCTTAATTAACATCTTGATTAAGGAAGCACCATCATTAGATTCACATTTGAAGTTCCCAAATAGGGTTTGTGGCAGCAGCCAGCAGTCAAATAAATAAATAAATCGACTTGTGGAAGGCAAGTCAATCCATGCTAATTTAATTAAATCCTCTAATAATTTAATCAATTGTACTCTAATGAACAAATCTCGAGGGTAGTTAGCTAATGAATATGCTCCTCATCTTGTTACTGGGGATTCCATTCCAAAAATGAATTTTTGTTATCTAGTCTCCATATAAATAACTATTTTTCTTTAATCATTCTGAAAAAAAAAAAATTTAATCTCAAAAGACATCTTACTGTGTATATACTGGAAAGATAATGCATGGACGATGCGCTGTAAAAAACAGAAAAATAAGAAGCGTGGCGTTTGTGCTGGAAGATTGTTGTTTCATGGCAATTAATGTAGCCATCTGGATGATACACACAATCGAGTCATGACAAGTATGAACCTTTTAATTATTTGGTTGACTAACATGAACTACCATTTGGCAATTGGCACCAAAGGTGGGTGCATACACAAAAATTCAACAGAAATAAGTGATTTTGACAGTACTGATACCAATAAAGAGAAACCATATGACCCAATCAATCTTGTCTGTTTATCAATCTTTTTACAAAGGAGCAAAGGTTGATCTAGCTTTCAAGAAACGATTATCTAGTCAAATAAATATTTTCCACCACGTGGCCGTACCCACTATATCAAAATGCATTCATGCACTTCTCAAGCCTAATCATGCCCTTTTTTTGTGAAATGCAAGGATAATGTTTTCTAATCAATCCACTGGCACTTAGCATATATAAGAGGTATAATACATATCTAAATAACTAAGAGGTATAATACGTATCTAAATAACTAATCAAAATCTTCCCTCTTTCAAAGCCAACCTTTTTCAAATGAAAAGCGTGAAGCTGGCTGCCCACCAAAAATATCAAACTATATAAGGTAGTGTTTGGTACATCGGAAGAGACACAGGACAAATTACTTGTTATGATATTTAGGTTGCATGTATAAGAGAAAATACAAAAGAAATTAGTTTTCGTCATGTATCATAATTAACTAGTCTAATTTTTATTCAACTTCTCTCTATATAAGACAATCTTTTTCCATCCAATTCCATCTTATATCGTTCACTAAATATATTTTAAATGTTACTCCTCCATATGATCAGTTTCTTATTAGAAAGGAGAAAAAAATGGTTTGACATATCCTTATATAATGAAATAAGTGTCTAATTTATTCTTAAATTATAAAATAGCCAATTATTTCCTTATATTGTAAATGACTATTCTATCATTTTAATAATATTTTCTAACGAAATCGTTAAAAAAAATATTACTTGATTCACATATAAGAAATATTATTTTGAAAATACTATCACATAAATAAACATGTGCAAGTTACTGACCTATCACTATCTATTCTCTCACCTTTGCCAAATTCCAATCTAGTACAAATTAAGACCAAGCCCTTTTTTTTTTTTTTTTACTTCTTCTCCCACTTCACTCCTTCCTCTCCCTTTCTTCTCCTCCAAAAGTTCAGCTAAAATAGTTTCAAAACAATCAATCCCATGAATGTTTCAGTCACCTCCACAGGCCCGATTTGTTTAGGACAAAATCTCAACATTTCACCAAAAATCAAGCTTTTATCTGCATTTTTCTCATTTTTTAGAGTCTAATATCAAATCTTAACTCATAGACCACCATCAAACCTGTCATTTTTCGCTATTTTTTTTCACGCTATCCACAATCTCAAACACTCCTTATTTATCAAAACTTGAGATTAATACCATAAATATGTAACTTTTTCACTCAAAGAATGGGTTTAGTACTTAATTTGGATGATGTGGGAGAGAGTGGTGATTTGCATTTTCCCATTCAATTAAAGAATATTTTTAAAATGTTTTTTTTAATGTTTTTATCAAAAAATATAAACATAAATTAAATTAAAAATCACTTAAAATATAGAAATTTTTATGAAATAATGAATATCCATACGAATGTTTATATGTTTTTTTAATTTTATTATTATGCTTGTTATTATTTTCTAACATTATTATTATAAATTACATTATAGAATTTTTATCATATTAAAACTCATAAACTTGATTTTGTGACCCTTAATATTTCGAACAAGAATTATTGATTATAAGTGCTTGATTCCGAGAAAATATTCTTTATTTTTCCTATTTCGAATATGCTCATGTAATAGCAATATCGAGAAAAGGATTTTAAAAATATTCCGAATTGATGTCATGTTTCTAACTAAAATAACAAGCTATTGATGAAAAATCATGAATTCTATTCAATCGGTTATACTTCATTCCCCGAAGTGAACATGACAACTTATGATAATTTTGGATATAAATCTGATCATGACCATAACCATTACCGTGGATGGAATAATTATCATATAATCATGGTGTTCATAATAACACATCGTATCATAAGAAATGTAGAAATTATAGTAGTCATATAATACATCTTACCATCGATATGGATAAATTATAGTGATTACAATATTAGATCTTGCCACCGAAGTGGACAATATATATATATATATATATATATATATATATATATATAAGTGGATTAAACCATCATTTTGAAAATGAATGTTATTGGTATCGGGTAAGAGACATTGATTGCATCTTTGTCGTACATCAAAACACCTCTTTGAGCTTTATCAAGCAACATTGAAAAAAAGAGTAAAATATAGAGGTTAATTTTATATATCAAAATGATGATAATTGAAATTAATAACTTATTAGCTTTTCTATGTAGAAAGAAGATGTTTTATATATATATATTTTTAATTTCTATTGCATATATATATATATATATATATAATGTTTATTTAATTATTTATTTTATTTTAATATTATATTTGATATTATTAATCTAATAAAAAGCTTTAAAAGAGCGAATATATTATTACCTAAAGAGATAAATTTTGAAAGCTCTAAAAGAACAAATATGTTATTACTTGAAGATACAACTTTTAAAGGCTCTAAAACAACAAATATATTATTACTTGAAATGAGAAAATTTAAAGGCACTAAAAGGGCAAATATGTTATTATTTGAAAGGATAAATTTTATTATAAATGATGTATTTTCTCTTTAAAGTTTCATAGAAATTTGTTGAGTTTCAAAAATATTCATCTAAATTGATATCACATCAAGACAACAAATATGAAAAATTTGAATACTTATATATTATAATTATTATATCGGATAAAAAATATGTATTAAAAAATTTAGTATCTTTCTCTTTTGATTTTTATTACAAACATTTGAATGATTGAAACAAATAATATAGCAAACCAAAAGTATATGAATTTAAATACTTTTATTATATGACGTAACTCGGTTAGGTTATCTTGGATCTTTCATGATGAGAAAAATTATTAAAAATTCATATAAACATCTATTAAAGAGCTAGAAAATTCTTCAATTTAATGAATTTTCATGTTCTACTTGTTCTCAAGGTAAATTGATTATTAAGCCATCACTAAGTAAAATTGTGATTAAATCTCTAATATTTTTAGGATATATTCAAAGTGATATGTGTGGATCAATTTATCCACCATGTGAATCATTTAAATATTTTATAGTTTTAATAGATGCATCCATAAGATGGTCATATATATACTTCTTATCCGTTCAAAACCCGATATTTTCAAGGTTGTTGGCTCAAATAATTCGATTACGAGCATAATTTTTAGATTATACCATTAAAATAATTTACCTTGATAATACTCGGTGAATTTATCTCTTAAGCATTAAATGATTATTCGTTTGTGTTATGCTACTTGCATTGTGAATGCATGATTTAAGCAACATAATCACAAAATAGAAAAATACGACTCGGTAGCATGTAAGAACAACAACAATACAAGATTCATATAGCAATCATAGCATCAATATGCTCGTAATGAAGTTTTAAAACATCCGAAATAAACCATCAAGGCTATTATGACAAATTGACAATCCATGAAGGCTTAATAAGCTAGAAAGCCAATAAGGCTATAACCGTGTATATATTCGATATAAAAACTAATTTCACTATGTTTTTATATAGTGACATTAATTCACTTACGGTGATGTTTCTAAATAAAACAACAAGCCATTGATAAAAAATCATGAACTCGTCAACCGGTTATACTCCATTCCCCGAAGTGAACATGACAACTTATGATAATTTTGGACATAAATGTGATCATGGCCATAACCATTACCATGGATGGAATAATTATCATATAATCATGGTGTTCATAATAACACACCGTACCACAAGAAATGGACAAACTATAGTAGTCATATAATACATCTTACCATCGGATATGGATAAATTATAGTGATTACAATAATACATCTTGCCACTAGAAGTGGACAATATATATATATATATATATATATATATATATATAAAGTGGATTAAACCATCATTTTGAAAATGAATGTTATTGGTATCGTGTAAGGAACATTGATTGCATCTCCGTCGTACATCGAAACCTCTTTGAGCTTTATCAAGCAATATTGAAAAAATGAGTAAAATATAAAGGTCAATTTTATATATGAAAATTATGATAATTGAAATTAATAACTTGTTAGCTTTTCTATATAGAAAGAAGATGTTTTATATTTTTTTTATAATTTCTAT